GATAATTGGATAGTTACTTTTGACTTTGGAGACATGTTGTATAGTTTTAATAGTCGAAGTGGGCCTCCCACATGAGTGACATAACATCAGTCCTTATACCAATTAATATTTCGTGTGGCCCAAAGTTTGGAGTCGAACTATTATGGAGACCCCACCAATGGCAATGGTTTCTCTTCCTCAAGGAACCACCGTCGGCCAATCTTCGACAGTGGACCCGAAGATCATTACCACTTTGGATGGAGTGATCCCTAAATAAAAATAAATAAACAAGGAAAAAAAAAAAAAAAAAAAAAAGAAAAAGAGGGGAGGGGCGGTTTGGATCTAATGTTGTGGTTAGGTTTGCAAACGAGTCTAGTTGAGTTAAGACGATTTAAAATTATTTTATTAAAATTTTTGATTGAGTGGGCCTCCCACATGAGTGACATAATATCAGTATACCAATTAATATTTCGTGTGGTCCAAAGTTTGAAGTAGAATTATTAAAGGGCAATGGTATCTCTTCCTCAATGAACCGTCGGCCAATCTTCGACAGTGGTGGACCTGAAAAAAACCAAAGATGGACGGTTTGGATCTAAGCTTGCGGTCAGGTTTGCAAATGACTCAAATTGAGGGGACTTAAGTTGTCTTATTGGAACTCATGTCGAATTCATATTTTAATGTCGGATGTAAGTCATTTAACTCCACTCGTTTAGTCAATTTTGAACACAATCTCAAAATCATCATTAAAATTGAACTTGAAAAGAATGGATAAAGATAAAATTTGATTCTGAATTCAAACAATCATAACAAGTGAGTCATATTCACAAATTATTAACAACAATGGTTACATGTATATTTTAAGGAATAAGGATAAAATTTGATTTTGAATCCAATCAATAATAACTAATGAGTTATCTTTATGAATTTTTAACAACGATGTTTATATGTATATTCTCCATGAACACACTTTGAACCTAACAAATTGAACCCCAAGTTGTTCAAAAAAAAACTCAGCCTCAAACTGTATTTTAATAGAATTGACTCTAGTTATTTTTTTTAAAAAAAATCTCAATTCATTTTTCACTCCCTGAATTTGATTAAATTAAATAGTCCCTTATTTACCTTTTTATATTTAACTATTTTAAAATAATTATCTCAATTTAAAAATCAATGTATTCTATAACTTACAACATTTTCAATTTACCTTTCTTACACTTGAACTTATAAAAACAAAATATCATCACATTACTATAATCTATCTGAATAATCAAATAACTCATTCACTACTAATAAAATAAAATATATATTAAAAATCTCATCTTAAAAAGTTGGATCATCAAAAAAGGCTCCTAATTAAAATGAGACCATGAGAGTTATTGTTTGACTTTAGTTTACTGTCTAATCTAAGTACATGTATTTTTTATTTATTTTTATAAAACTTTAGATGTTAAAGTAACAGTGGTATTCAACTGCAATATGATTAGTAAGAAAAACTGTACTCAATTTTAATTGTAATAATTGTAAGGGTAGATCTAATTCTACTGCTAATGGAATCTGTTTCACTATTTTAAGAAACTTGTATTATTTGAATTAATCATTAATTACTAATGAGGTAAATTGACCATAATGCCCGATTAATAAGAGGAAAAAAATTTGTATTGGAGTTTTATAGAAACTCTTTTAAAACATTTTTTTATATTAATTAATAAATAATTTTTTATATTAATAATACTTGTCTAATTATATTTTTTTTTATTAAAAAACTCATAATAAATAGATAAATAGGTAATTTGTGTTAGCCTTTTATAGAAACTTTTTAAATATATATTTGTCTAGTGTGACAGAGTTTTATTGAAAATAAAATAGATAATTTATGATAGAGTTTTATAGAAATTATTTTATTTTCTCTAAGTATATCATTGTTTAATTAGATTTAATTTTATTAAGAAACTCATCATAAAAGCTAATTTGTGGAAGAGTTTTAGAAAAATTATTTTATTTTTTATATCATTTAATAAATATTTTTTATTTTAATAATTCTTGTGTAATTATATTTTCTTTTATTAAAAAATTCATAATAATAAATAGATAAATAGGTTAATTTAAATTTTATTAGCTAGATTTTAATTTTATAGAGTTTTTTTTTTTTTTAAAAAAACGCTTTTATATCATCAATTAATAAATATTTTTTTATATAAATAAATAAATACTTAAATATTGAAACTCTTGTATTTTACTTTGGAAATTTCAATTTCTGTACTCTTTCCTCCTTTTGGCTTTTTTCATACCTCTATTTATAAGCTTCCTCCTTTTGGCTTTTTTCATACTTCTATTTATAGGCTTCTTAGATTAATAGAATGACGACATGTGTCCTCCCCGTATAATGACACAATCATAACTAGGCCGGGCCGGTTATATTGTGATAATTATCCATAAAAAATAATTATTTTTTTATATCAATTAACAAATAATAAATAAATACTGAAACTTATATATATAATAATAGTATAGATATAGATATATACAAACACATGGATGAGAGAGAATAAAAGCGAGAAAAGAGGGTAATATTATCTTAGGGTCTTTGTTAGATAGAAATTTTTATGGAAAGTGAAAGTGAAAGAAAGTTAAGTAAAAGAAAGGAAAATCAAGTTTCTATCATGCATTTGGTTAACAAGAAATTTTTTTGAAGAAAGTTGTAAGAAAATATTATTTTATTAGTTTGGATAACATGAAAAGGAAAAGAAATGATTCTATTTACCGAAAATACCCTAATAATTTTAAATAGTAAAAAAATAAATAAATTTATGTTTGATAAATATTATTTATACTTAATTATTTATTTTAATAAGAAAATAGTGAAATATGGAATAGAATAGTATGTGATATCATAATACAATTTTTTTGCTTTCTCCTCTCGCTCTATATTATATATTCACTTGTAAATTTGAATTTTTGATCTTTTATTTTTTAAGGTAGGAAAAATAAGTTTTTGGTAAAGTGGACTATGAAAGTTCTAAGTATTTATTTTATCTTTATGTTAGTTTTAATTTTATTATTTATTTGTAAATGATGTAACTAGATCCTATATATCTCATTACAACTTTCTCACTGAGAAAATAAAAGTCATAGACATATTATGTAAACTATTTACAAATCATTAATTGTTTATTTCAAGATGATGTTTAATGTTGGGTATAAAACAAATTGTGTTAAGATAATGTAAACTAGTTTTCACCTAACACTTTATCAACAAATAGTTATGTATATATATAATAACTCTTAATCATTATCAATTATAGAAACAAATATTTTACCTATTTAAGACATTTGAAAAAAATTGAAAAAAAATAATTCAGTAATAAAAGGAGAAAATTAATTAATTTTGGATGCACATATAAAAAAATACAAACAATTTTATTAGTAATACATGATTTTATAAAAAAACAATTTACAGAAGAAAAAAACTCTCTTTTTCAAATAAGTGTATCTAATTAAGTAAAGAAGAAGAGAGACAACTAATACGGGTATAATAGGAAAATCATATATAAAGTGCACAAGTTTTGCGAGAAAGTCAATTTCCTTGTATTTTTTGCACAAAAAATTTTGAGGAAAATTTACAGATACCGGAATCATACTTTCCTCAAAATTTTCACTTTACTTCTAACCAAACTTCCAAAAAATTTAAATATTTTCCTTTTCTTTTCTTTTCTGATTACTTGATGCTAACCAAACAGACCCTTATAAAATTATATATTAATGATCCATAAAAATAGGAGTAATATATTAGGATAATTATAAAAGTTTTTCAACCATTCACAACCGCGACTTCAATTAGCATACCTTTGTTTTTTTGTAGATTGAGCAAATATACACACGCACGCGCGCACATGAGGACTTGAACTTTTAAATTCACTATTTAAAGATGATGGATCATACCCCTTTAACTCTTTATTCAGAAAAAATACTCGACCCTATATATAAATACTCGACCCTATATGTATATATATATATATATATATATGCACGGGTCTTGAACTCTTAAATTCACTCTTTAAAAAGGAGAGATCATACCTCTTTAATTTTCTATTTAGAGAAAATACTCCACCCTATAAATTCATATTTTGCGCCGCAAAGTTGAATGACACCCAATGACAAAGAGAAATTTTTATATTGTCAAGCAATTTACGAGCTGTCAAGCAAGTAAAAAATTGAACAAGTTACATTTGGTTGCGTGACAATATGCTACCGGCTAAAATCACATAGTCCATATGGTCGAACAATTCACAAGTCATCTAGCAAGTGAAAAATTGAACAAAATACATTTAATTACGTGACAATATGTTATTGGATAAAATCATAGTCTTTATGGTCGAGCAATTCACAAGCTGTCAAGCAAGTAAAAAATTAAACAAATAGGTTCACTTGCGTGATAATATGTTATTGACTAAAATCATACCATCCAAGAAGTTATTACACAGTCTTAGGACCAATTATCATTAAAAACGAAGTAATTGTAAAAAAAATTAATATTTGTATGCTGGTATCTAATGTGATTGGGGAACCAATGACTTTAAGACCATTTAAAAATTTGTCGTAGTCCAAGACGATTTTAATAATTTCTCCTTGGCTGTAGCCGTCTGCTAGTTCAAACTTTGAAAAAACAAATTTCAAAATGCAACAAAATTTTAATATAAAAAAACTTTAGAGAGAAAATATTAGTGTAATTTTTGTATCAACAGAGACGATTAATGTAACTATGTACACCTCCATGGAAGACTCGAGGAGGACATACACTTCTGGAACATACTAGTCTCTCCCTCGTTAGGATAAACTATTAGAGTGATAAGATTTGGATCTTGAAACTAAACCATAGAAATACAACAGATACGTGGAGAAGAGGAGGGACGTGTGGGGACCACCAATGATGTTAGGGATTGGCATCACGTAAGATGGTGACACGTGGACGGTAGATATCAATCACTATCTCTCCTAACTGCGCTATAAATTAGGGTCATGGGTCAAGCATAAATTCTCGTCCTGCATTGAGTGTTCATCATAAATATTTCATAATTTAGCTTCATTTAATCAATTACTTTCCTCTCTCTGAAAAAATGTCTTGCTGTGGAGGAAACTGTGGCTGCGGCTCTGGCTGCAAGTGCGGCAGTGGATGTGGAGGGTAAAGTTTTAGTAGCATTTTGCAACCTAACTTGTTTGTTTCCATGGAAAATTTTAGTTGGCAAGCAAGGAAACATTTTCTATCACAAATTTTTTATTTTATAAAGGTTCAATATATCTCTTTACACACACACACATATATATACACACACACACACACACACAGTATATGACATGTATATATATAAGTATATGATATGGCTGTCTCTTCTTAAGCTTAAGTTGATTTTTTTTTTTCCTTTTTTTCTGAAGTTTAGAATATAAATGATATATAAAGTTTTTTTTTAAAATTAAAGTAGCTTTGTTATGATCTGGGTCCTTTGAATCTATTCATTTCATTTAAATCGGAACTATAAGATCCTTACTTTTTTTTTTTTTAAGAAAAAGAAAAAAAGAAGTTTGTCTTTGATGTTAGATTGGGATGGGTGCTTGCATGTTCATGTTTAATCAGTTGAGTCACGAGATTCTGTGTATATATTTTTGTTTGTTTTATAAAATTTATCTCCTTGGATACCCAAAATTTTAAAATATCTTCTCTCTTTGTATATACAATATTGAAATAAATACTCATAAATTCAATGTTGTGGATAACGATGACAGGTGCAAAATGTACCCAGAAGAGAAGAGTACTACAGCTCAGACCCTAGTTATGGGCCTGGCACCCCAGAAGGAGTATGTCTCTCTCTCTCTCTCTCTCTCTATATATATATATATATAATATTATATGCACAAGTATATAGTATACACGAATGGTTAAATTAATTTAATATATATATGTTATTGATGATGCAGGTACTTTGAGGGATCTGAGATGGCTGTAGAAGACGATAATGGCTGCAAGTGTGGAGCCAACTGCACCTGCGACCCTTGCAAATGCGGAAAATGAGAGACCACCCTATTAACCAGCCTCTACAAAAGCAGAGAAACCCCTCTATCATCAATATATATATATATAGTTAGCAGTGTTGTCTTGTGTTCTTGTGGGGCTATGAAGCTTGTATGATGATCACAAGCTTTTATCTTTAAATAAATTGGAGTTTGGTTAATTTCATGGTTGCTTTGTGTTTGGGTATCTTGTATATGTATGTGTTGGCAAAAGGAAGTGAGTGTGACAAATGAATGAATCAATACTTCTTTCTTTTGATATTATACTTGCCCTTTCTTGTGAATCTGATCATAATTTTCCATTTCTTGTATTTAAAGACCAAATGGAAAAAGGAATGTAATATTGGGAATGAAGAACAAGGAAAAAAAAAAGAAAAAGAAAAGAAGATTTTTGATGAGAAATTAGAAATTTCATTTCATAGAATTATCATTTTATAAAATTTAGTTAAGAAAACATGAGCTTTCGCCCATTCCCATATGCTGTAAATTATTCAAAAAAAAAAAAAAAAGAAAAGAAAAAAAAGAAAGAAAGGAAATGGTGTTTTGGCAGTTAATGATTTTAAAAAATAATAATAAAATTGTAGCGTAGAGTTTTAGTATTTTGAGTGGGAGTAATATCTTCGTTTTAAAAAAATAATAAAATTAGATGATGTGACTTTTGCGACTTGTTTCATAAATTAGGGAAGACTTTTTGTAACATGGTAGTTGAGATATAAGAAAGGGGCTCTTTTGTTTGGAGTATTCTTATTTTGTTGAAGTCGGTGGATGATAAATGATAATAATGATAAACAGGCCATCATTATTACAGTGGCATCAATTTTAAATTGGAGTCTTTTATGAAATTAACTTGAACAAAGGATAATTTTGTTAACGAGGTGCAATAATTGAAAAATGTGTTAAGTGCATAATATTTCCTTGTATAAAAAATGTGTAAAAAATATTCTTACTAAAAATTAAGTACATATAAATTCATGTAGTATCAACATTTTGAGCAAATTATTCCTTAATTATCAATTTTGACCAATTTTTTTATAAAAATTTTAAAATGCCCTTGCTTATGTAAGAAAAAAAAATAAAAAAAAGGAAAGAAAAACTGTCTTTTCCTTTATCTCTAAATAGTCTCTCAGACCTCTTTCTCTCTCTAGCCTCTTCAACGTGGAAGATCACCGTACATTTTCATCGGGTCTATTTGACTTTAGCAATTATCAATTAACTCTCCTCTAACAATCAATACTTTAATAAAAAAATAAAACTTTATCACCGAAAAATTACTTACATTAATAAAAAAAATATATATGTATTTAGGTAATTTCTAAAGCAAATTGCTTAATACTTTAGAAATTACCTAAATACATATATATATTTTTATTAAAGTAAGTAATTTTCCGGTGATAAAGTTTTATTTTTTTATTAAAGTAGTGATTTTTAGAGGAGAGTTAATTGATTATTGCTAAAGTCAAAATAGACCAGATGAAAATGTACGGTGATCTTCCATGTTGAAGAGGCTAGAGAGAGAAAGAGGTCTCATATATATATATATATATATATATAATTTCAAGATTATATATATATATATAACATAAAACAAACACCACAAAATATTTACTTGGTGAAGACATGAAGAGGACGAAGAATGAACTTATTTATTTTGTAAAACTTGAAATATAAAGATTATTGATATTCCTTGAGAATGAGTATTTTCAACATGTCCAGATTATATATACATACTTTTACAACAAAATAAATGTTGTGCAGGTTGTGACATCATCTCAATTTGTTTTTGTTTTAGCCTATGATCATGGAGCCTAATGCACAAGTTTAATTGTCCATCTTGGTTATTCATCAATACCTGTGATGGGATGTTATTTTGATGGAGCCACAATATCATTTTGATCCTTCATATCATAGTAGCATTTACATCCCAAAAATCAAAAAAATTAAATTATATGAACATTGTTATGTATGTCTTTGCGACCAGGCCTACTCCCATATGTTAGAAGGAGAAAGAGAAAGATTTTACTTCTAAAGCCAAAGTTATTATGGGTTGATTGCATCTCTTTTAAATATTGAAAGTTGCTTAAAAGGAGAGGATAGAGAGAAATAAATATGGAAGTTGTGGAAAGAAAGTCCCACCATAAAGTGAAAACAAAAAGAGAAATAGAGGGGAGAGAGATCTTCCAAAAAAAGAAAAAATAAATTATAGGAGATAGGGGATATTTTGATTTATTATTATTATATTTTTGATTATTTTATTATATGGGTATTTTAGACATTTCAATGACTAAATTGACATAATGTCCTTATTTGCACAAATGGTAAAATGCAGGGGTTTTTATGAACAACAGGAGTGAATTGCACATTTTGTATATTATGAGGGGTTTTTTTGCACTTAATCCTTAAAAAATTAAATAAAAAATTGTGAGATACTTTAATTATAAAATAAAAAATAAAATGTGACACGAAAGGGTTATGGAATTAGACAAAATATCTATAAATTGTGAGATACTTAAATTATAATTTTGTTTTCAACGTATTTAGTTGGATGTGTATTTACGGTGTCCATTAACATAATAAGAAAATATAAATCTTTTAGGGGAACCTACATATAGGTTACTCTCTCTGTCTCATATTAATTGTCGTTTTTGAGAACTATGACTCACAATATCCATTAACATAATAAGAAAATATAAATCTTTTAGAAAAAACTACATATAGACGACGTTTAATATAGGACAGATAGAGTATTATGTTAATGATTATACAAAATAATTACAAATACACTAAGAATAATACTCTCCAAACTCTCACATTAAAATATTCTTTTTAATAAGATCCATTTCAAAATATCAAAAATATCATTTTTAATATCATATAATTCCAAAATATATATATATAAAAAAAAGGAAATTATCGAGGGATTAAAAAAATAATAATCCGTTCCTCTTCTAACTCTTTGACGAGGGATGAGAAGGGGACGGGCTCTATACGCATGTAAAAATATCTCTAAAATAATAATTCGTTCCTCTTCTAACTCTTTGACGGGGGATTAAGAGGGGACGGGCTCTATACACATGCAAAAATATCTCTGTTCTTTCCCAGTAGTTAGTTAGAATACTTTTCTGCAACATTGAGAAGAGTTGCAAGGAACTGATTTCATAATTACCTCACTTCTTCTATTTTTAGTAAAATGGTATAGGTTTCTTTTGGAGGGTAATTTGTTTATTTTTTTACTTTTTAATTTTTATTCGTGAATTTGGTCTTATAGTATAGATTATGCACTCAATCACTTTGAACAGATAGAAACTTTGGGACAACTTACTTTGGATAAATATATATATATATATATATATAGGAAAAGGAAACAAACGCCAACTAAAGAGGCATTACTTTGGAATTATATTATTTTAATAAGGATATTTTAGTATTTTGAAATAAGAGTTTGAAATATATTTTAGAGTTTAATAATAATTTTTGATGTATTGATAATTATTTTATTTAATTCAACTAAATTAAAAATTGAACCTTTAAAATAGATTATTTTATTATTTAGGACTCCTAACTCTACCTATACTTAATTTTCCCAATCTTTAATCACATATCCTGATGTTAAAATCTAGAACTTTGATTAATTATTTAGAACTTTGATATATTATCATTTTGTTACGAGAGATTACCATGAATCTTTATTCACGGATCTGTGTCTTGGTGTTGAAATAGAATTTTAATTATTTAGAACTTGACATGTATTTTATATTCGAAAGATGTATTGGAATCCAAGCGTATAAATGGATCATTTATGATTCGCTATTTATTTTGTTCGGTAGAAAGAAAGAAAGATGTGTGAAAAGAAAATAGGGAAGAAGTAACAAATTTTTTTTGTTTGTTAAAGAAAAGATAATAGGACGGATGTTTTCATCGGTAAAAAAATGGGCGAAGAGATAGGGAAGAAAAGTGGACTATTATAGAAGTTTTAAATTAAATACTATCCTAAATTACACAAGTTTTAAATTATAGTACTATCATATATTAATTACAATATTATACATATTACTGGACATAATAGTTAAAATAATTTAAGGTTAACTTCAGTTACACTCCCTAAGGTATGTCCAATTTTCAAGGTGACCCCCCCACGTTTGCAAAAATTCAGTCAGACCCCATATTTTTTCTGATACACATAATTCTCCCCCCTCAGTTAATGGTCAAAGTTAGTCAGAGATACTTTTTGCCGACATCAACAAAAAATGAGCTTTTAATGCCCAAATTGCCCCTAAACGGTTCTATTTGGTTACAAATATTAACGGTTAAGTTTGGTTTCAGGTTATAAAGCAATTTAAATGCCCATATTGCCCATGAAGTCCATGTTAATGCCCAGATTGCCCCTCAACTCTCCAACAGTCATGTTTGGCTTCTATAAATAGGAGATAGCTGGGCACAATGTTTGGCACTTCCTGTCTTCCTCTTTTATATTCTCCTATGTAAGGCACTTCTTGTCTTCCTCTCTTATATTCTCCTATGTAAAGTGATGTCTCAATCAAGCGTAAACAGTCGTGAAGGTAGAGGCAGAGGCAGAGGTAGAGGCTATATATAGTATACGTACAAGATTTGTCGCTGTGGGGATTTTGCTATAGTGAAGGTTACAGAGAATGATAAAAATCACAATAACGGAAGGTTGTCTTATATTTGTGAAAATGAAAAATGTAGTTTTTGGGAATGGTGTAACCCTATAGATGGTTCTGTTGCTGTTGATGTTGTTGGTGTTAGTGCTGCTGGGAGTATTCACCTGCAAATCAACTTTTGTTTGAGGTTGTTGCTGAATTGAGGTTGTAGAGACAAGCTATAGGTTCAAGGTTACAAGTTTTTGAAACAACTATTTTGTTTCTTGTTATCTGTTTTTGTTATTTATTTCAAATAAAATGATGCAATAAATATTGACTTATATTGAGTACATTTACCATAAAAAGCATCATTAATCTATTATCTCTACACATGCATATACAACCACAAAGCAAGCATAATCTATTACTGAAAAACCACAAAAAAACATAACCAGTATCAACCACAACTTACAAGTTTCAAACAAAGTAGGTCATAATACAAAAATCCTAAAACCATTACAACATTGGAATCAAAAGCATTAAAAGCAACAAAAATCCTAAAACCAACTCACTGTTGTGTGGTGAATAAAACCCAAAGGAGTCTCTAACTACTAGCAGTGTGTGTTTCTTTCCTCGGTACTACTTTTGCTACCCTCTCTGTAATTG